TGAATACGATACAGAGCTGTTAACAGTAAAGAACAGGACGCGTTCATTCATCACTTAAATACAACAGAGTTATTTAAACTTGATGCAGTACCGAATACAGAGTGATTCTAAATTACTGTCGGGGATTCCCATTATAGGGTACGGAAACGCCGACAGTAATTTAGAAACAATCTGTATAACCTTCATAACAAAGGTGGAGAACACAGCATGTCGAACGGCTGTAAGGAAATAGTCCCGTAAAAATACAGAGGACAGTCACTGAGATATCATATAAATGTGACACTTCTATGTAACCTATTTACGTATATACATATATAGATGCTTGAAGGAACGCTTTCTTGATACTTTCCAAGCTCATCTCCTTAACTGCAGCCACATAACATGCATGGGTATATACGCTACTGTACATTAATACTATTAGTCTCATCAATGTATTCCATATAGGCTTCAGACAAGAATGGAAATCAATGACATTAAATAGCGGGAACGCTGTAGCGTAGTCGGTTGAAGCACTATGCTACAAACCGGAAGGTCGCGGGTTCGATTCCCGATGAGATCATTGGATTGTTCAATTGACCTAACCCTTCCAGCCGTATAATGGCCTTAGAGTCGACTCAGCCTCTAATAGAAATAAGTACCAGGAATCTTCCTTGGAGTCAATGGCGGAAGGCCGAAGCGTAAGGCTAACAACCTCACCGCCATCTGTGAGCCGATTGTCTAGAAAATGTGACAGCCTCGTCGTCTCACAACCCTATGGGCTTCTGCAGCTCTTTATAGGAACAGTTTTACATTTTATGGCATTAAATAGATAACAGGCATACGGTACAAGAATTTCAGTATAAACCACAAGGAATGTAACGCAACTTGTTCTTCTATTTTCAGATTTTGAGAATCTGTGTGCATTTATAATACTTCCCATGCATACAAAATGCTCCTCCTACTTCATCCTTCTTGATTTAATCACTTTAAGAGGATATGATGAACAGTACAATTTATGTAACTCCTCATTATGAAATTTTCTTAAAATATCTCTATAAATAACTGAACTGATGACCTTTAGGCTTGGCGATGGGAGTTAATCTAAACTGCATTTACAGTTCTCATATAAAAACGATCTTGTTCAACCACCTTCAGCATTCAATTGACAAGTAAGAAATCTTAAAAAAAAAGAATTTAAAGAGGCGAATCAGTTCAGTTCACTTCCTGCTCATCTCATACCGCAGTTACAAAGCGCCTGGAGGTCAAGTCATACTACCCGCCTTACAAGAGAGTCGGAGAAGTTGCCGCAGTAGGACGGCGTACCATGTCCCTGTTATAGAATTGTGTTCTCCGTATGTGGGGTTCAGACCTTCCAGATTCTGTACTCCTGAACCTCTCCTAGCTATACAGCTATATATAAATTATCTCTGGGGGTCCATTATCATCATCATCAGATAATGGCAGATCGTGTGTCACCATTAGAGGTACACACATTTCTATTTTTAGCACATGATGTAAACAAAAATTGCCATACAAGAGGTATCGTTGACCACACAGGATTTTTTTCCCTAAGACCACCTACTGAACGCATGACGCACGGCCTAAGCTGTTTGAGACAGAATTTATGAAGGCCAATCCCTATGCTGGATCAAATGGGGAGCGTTCATAAATGCTATGAGAGCGAAAAGGAGATCTGGCCACGTATGGCCTGTATTGACTGAATTTTAAACAGTGTTATAGAAAACTAAAAGAACTGTACCTATAACCATATTCATGATTCCATGCTCCAAGTGGCAAGCATGGATATGACTCGACCTTGATTTGGAATTTACAGCTCTACTGTTGTGACCTCGTGAAACCAAAATCAAATTAGGTACACGGAATTAAAAGTTGCTCTTTGCAATCGTTATTTTCCATTAATATCTTCGCTGAAATCTTGGTGCAAATGCTATCTTCTTCTTCTTTCAAACCACACAAAGATGGTTCCACCTTGTCGTGGTGGTGGGGCTTGCGTGACTCTGACCTGGAGAGCTATGCCGGCGGTATTTTACCTACCGGTAGGGTCACCTATGCCGGAAAAGTCAAATGGTAGAGCCCAGACTAAGAGAGATACCCTGGTCCTCCAGGATGTGGGTTGGGCATGCGGCTACAACCTCATCCAATAAAAATAAATTTGTTCAGAAACCTAACAACCAGCCTCAGATAAGTGGAACATATGGGAAACGGACTAAGCAAAGGACAAGGAACAATGATATTGTGATGGAAACTTTGAATGTCGATTTTGAGAACGGCCTGAAGAAGATGAAGGTGAAAGGATGGATAGAGAAGTTGAGGAATAGAGAGCAGTGGAGACTGGTTCTAGAAGAGGCCAATGCTCACCCAGATCTGTAGCGCCGAGTGGTGTGTAGGTAGGTACTTGTTTCAAATAAGCTGGATTTCAACAAACGCCGACATTTCCAACTTTCAGTCTACAAGAATACATAGTCAAAAAGTAATTGTTTCGTGATATTGGGCACAGATCAATACCAGCCTGTAAGAGAGCCGTGAAGATAAGCGTTTAATCTTACAGCAAATTTCCACTGTTCTATCGTGTTCATTAAAAGTACTTGATCTGCCTGTCATGTGTCACGGACGCCGTCTGAGTTCCAGCCACGCGTAGCGCTCGGAACAACTATAACTAAACCAGTAGCTGATCTCTGTAAGTGTAGAAACAGGCATATTCACTTTTGTACTTTTACCTCCAATCTGTAAGATTTTTTGCCCTCCCACTAGGACATGTATAGTTGTCTACCCTCTCCTTTACTAACACTCTTTCCTCCCTTCATCCCTCTACTACCCTTCCATGTATGATTTACACTTCACACTTTGTTTGGAATACAGGGGTAGGTGGGAGGGAAAAGCAATGCATTTGGGAAGGGTCGATATTGTGGGCTCGCCGACTGAAGCCGTGGTAACAGGTGTTGGCAGATACGAGGGATCGATTGGAGCAAGTGAGAAGCGAGTCTCTTAGTTATGACGCTCCTCTTTGCGCACGCGCGCTCTGGAAGAGCGTCGCCGCCATGAGCCCTGTGTCATCGGGACGCCACCCCGCCCGAACGAGTGAGAGTGTATATGTTGGTGCTATGGGCGAGGGGTACCCGACGCTCTGTACGTCTGGATGGTAAGGAGTGCTTGTGGTGCGTCTCGTTATTTTGTTTCTGCCTCGGAGAAACCTTCATCTTTCCGTTCATTTCGTGTGAGTTCAGTTAATTCTTCACGATATGTGTTCTTCCTGCCGTGACTATTTTCAGGAAGGTTAGACAAGCCTGTACGGCTTCTGTGTTTGAAGACATTATCAGAGACTGAAAGAAATTTCCTACAAGTGAATACATGAAGTTAACTGAAGGCTGACGACTAAGCAGTGAACATTGACTGTAGTGATATTCAAGAAGAGTGACATTAAATCTTTCCCGAGTCAGTGAATCCGATCCGAAGGCAACCACAAATCCAAAAACTCAGCCGTAGAGCAAAAATACGCCGTCCTTTTCTGTAAAAAAAGAAGAAGATCCATTCTCTTGGCCTTACTGGAGCTTCTATTTTCTATCTGAAATTAATTATTCCTACATACTTCACCGGTGTGACTGTGTGTTCGACAACTGTTCTCGAACAAACCAATTGTTGCTTCTGAGAACCAGAGGAGCCCTCGCGAAAGAGCCCCGGCGCGACACTAACAGGTGGCTGTATGAGATTGCCTACAGTTCCCCACCCTCTCCGCCCTATCCGCTTAACAGCCTGTCTGTCTGTCTTCCCCTTCTAGCTATGCCTTCTGCGCTCCAGTCTAGGCCATTTTCTCTGTCTTCTTCTGTCTTTCGTCTTTCCATTTTCATTCCTGTTTGCACATTTCCATAACCGAATACCTAACCTACACATAAATTGCTAACTGCAGACAACGAAAATACGGTGAAATAACAAATACAACGATTTTTCCCGGTAACATCTCATTCCGCATATTTTATTTCATTTTTATATTTGTTAATTAATCGAAGAGGAACTTGTACTAACAATTTGCTGTGATGGACAATGCCAAAGAAACGAAAGCAATAGAACCATAACGGGGACCTTTCATGTTGCCATTGTTACACGTATTCGCCGACAAGAGGAAGAACAAAACAAGAATAAGAAAGAAGAGGAAGAAGAAGAAACGATGGGACATTCTGAACCCATGATCTTTCTCTGAGATTACGTTTTTTTCCCAAGATTGCGAATCTGATGTAACGCGCTCCTAAAAATCGACTCACCCTGTAGGAGCACCGCCCTACGTTTGTTATATAAAATTAAACATTTTCAGCGATTAAAATTTTCGTATTATAAAACAGACACGACTATGTTAATTTTGATATTATATTACATGAAGGAAGTATTTCGTAGTGTATGTTTTGTATAACCTGTTGGTTACACTTTCAGTGTGGGTGAAGTGCAACTTGTTGATTCGCAGTGTTGCGCCCCGACAGTGACTCTCGCAGTCTAATTAGTTTACAGGTTGCAGTGCGAACTCTGCTGCAAGCAAGTTCTGATGGAACGCACAAGTTCACACGTGATAGCCATCAGTGAAAGTGGTACCTGCCCACACAGAATCAAGAGCAATATTTAACCTCAAAATTTATGAAATCGATTTATTGATTTGTAGCTCATTTATCAATTTAATACTGCACCTTTATATAAAACAACGAAAGCAATATTTCTCTGCTAGTGAAGAAAGGTTAGTTAAATATAGTAGAATTTTTGTGTGTACTGAAAATCTTCTAGCAAAGAAAAAATATTATAGAAGAAAGAAATCAAGTGATGATTTTTAGATGTTAGGAACATCATACTATAACGGTAAAAGGTGCTACAATTTAAGAAAAGAATATTTCCCTCAAGTTTGACAAACCCATTCCAGTAAAAGCAAATTATAGCATCGAACAAAACGTTTACCAGTATCAAAGATTATTTCAATTGAGATTTCACTGAAAATTCAAAAGTTGCGTCAAATTACGGTCAGGATGCCGAGGTGCTATATGGTGAAGAAAGCATGCAACAAGTATCAGACTTCAGTAAGGGATTGTTGGAGCGTCGCGGCGGCGACACAGGATGAAGAGCGTGAAGAGGCGCCGGCAGGCCCTGTAAGTCCAACTGAGGGATGCGTGGCGCCACCCAGCCCAGGCGCCTACTATAGACCTCTCACCACCATCACGACACAACACAGTAAGTAACGTAACCCAAACATCTCATCTGCTGTCATTTCGTCAGTTCATGCTACGCGAGCTGTCATCTTAAGAGCGATCCGTTCCGATGTTCTGATTGGTGGCACAGGTGAATAGACATAAGGAGAATATAACGTGTGACATGTCAGACATAATTATAGAATTCATGAGAAGTCGACATATAAATTAAATTGAAAACAATTCCAAATATCACCGAGACAGAATTGCCATAAAAGTGGGGTAACATCTATCAGAAATATGAATTTTACTGGATGTTTTACACTTCTCTTCAAAAATAACATCGAAGAAGAGCTGTAATAGCTAAAAATAAAAAAAAAATTATAAATAATGGTATTATTTAAATAAAAAAAGTAAAGGAATCCTTGTAAGAGGCCGAGGAGGCCCATAGGGTTGTGAGATGTTGAGGTTCCCACATTATCTAGACAATAGGCTCAAAGATTGCGGCAAGGTTATCAGCCCTACGCGCCGGCCGCCCTTTACCCCCAAGAATGTTCCAAGAATATTCCTGGTACTCATTTCTGTTAGAGGCAGGGTAGACTCAGGGTCAACTGTGTGGTGTCCTCAGCAACGTCCGTCATAAAGTATGTTCGTTGCAACGGACGTACTTCGTGAGCTAGTATGGCCCCAGGCTAACATTAACGTAAGCCAGCTGTTTGTTCTCATAAATGTCAGCATTACAGACCCCAAAACCTTACGCCACGAAAGCAGTCAGAATACTACATCTGTTTCAAAGCCATTCTTCGGCGATGTTGTGATAAAGTGCGACCTTACTACGGTCAGTCCGGAGAGCGCACGTAACTCCCTAGATGTTCATTTCTTCGAGAAATTTTCTGTTCTTCTGCAACACAAATATTCATCACTGCTGATGTTAAGCAACACATGTAGCAACACATGTAGAACCGTGTCTGAGAAATCACAAATGTACTGGAATAAAATGGCGCTGAAGAGTCATTACTCAGCTGATATATTGTGTAACTAAGAACATAAAACATAAAAGCATACGAGAAAATTCTAGCGTCTTCCCCTTTTTCTTTTAAATTCGCTTAGTGGGGGGTGGAATCCAACTGGGTCCGCTCGGTACGGCGGCCACTGATTGGCCTATTGTAGCCTGCCCCGGGTGATTATGATGATGGAGAATTTGGTGGAATGAAGATCGGCAGGGGAAACTGAAGTACTTGGAGAAAATCCGCCCCAGCGCCACTTTGTCCACCACAAATCACATTTGACCAGATCAGGGATCGAACCCGTGCCGCCGCGGTGGGAAGCCGGCGACTAACCGCTTGAGCTATGGCGCGGCCTAACATGTTCCCTTTAATAGTAGGCAATTTTTCAAAAGAACTGGGAGGTTCACCGAAAAGTCAGATATGGCATAAAGCATCAGTTTGCTACTGAGCATCTTCAGTTCAGAAGATCTGTTGTGCTGGTATATAAGTTCAGAGAACCAAGCTCGGGCTATCTGCGGCAACACAGCAGCATCTCCAGAGGAAATATTCGCATTTCAGTTAAACCAAAAGTGGAATGTACCGACAAATTTTAGTTAACCTTTGGAATATCAAATTTCACGAAAATCTATTCAGCGGTTCTTATATGTTATCAGCAGACAGACAGAGAGACAAACAGGAAGAAGCTGATAGGTGCATTTTTTTGCAAATTTTCTTTACACTAAAAATATGTCAATCAGTATAGTCCTATATTACTAGTATTTTTGGACATTATCCATCGTCCTGTCTCTTTTCTAAAAACCGTCCTGTTAATTTTTTAAATACGTTTCGGAGACTGGATTCTGTCCCCGTCCTTAGGTAAAATCCAATCAGTTGGGTCCAATAAACAGAGCTAGTTCCTCCCTCCGGAGACACAACGGGGACAGAATCAAGTCTCCGAAACGTCGTGTTTTGAAAAATAAACAGAACGGTTTTTAGAAAATAGACATGACGATAGATAATGTCCAAAAACATAATATTGTACTTGTAGCAATGCACCATCGTCATAAACCTTTAGATCTTAGAGTCTTATATGCCGGTCACGGTAGCCGAGCGGTCTAAGGCCTGTACTGTCTTGGCTTGCTCGGAAGTCGGGATCGTAGGTTCGAATACCTCACAATGCATGGATGTTTGGTGTGTGTGCGTGCGTTTATTCTGTGTTTCTGTTGTCCTGTGTTTAGGTAGAGGCCTAGTGACGAGCTGATCACCCGTCCAAGGAGTCTTACCGTCTGTAAAAATTATCAATGAAACTGAGAAATCAGCCCTATGCTCCAAAGTGGGCGCGAGAGAAAATAAAATATGACTGAAAACCCAAGCCGACGAGAATAAAATATTTAAAGAGGAATGATTACAGTGACTCACTGTTGATGCTTCCTTGCCCTACAGTGGGTGAAGTGTCAGACATTTGTAATATTCCTTAGATATCTGTATTTACGTTCGCCGAATAATTGTTACTGAACATACAAGCATAACAAAAATAAGACTGTACTTGCTTATTAATGCCATGTCCCAACAAAAGCAACTTAGTAATTGAGGCAGACCGATCAATAAGTACCAGCAGCAATTATGGTCAGACCCACTGGCCCCGTGCTGGTCCCAGACTTGATCGTGCCATTATTTAACGGGACGACTGGGGCACACTTCTTACCTGCGTCCTGTAGAACAAAAATATTCTGATTTACGACATGGAGACACTAGGTGTGATGGGGCCCTATAATTCTGTATATTATTATAGATTTTAACTTCGAAAAATCACTCATTTCCGGCAAACTAAGTAACTTAATATATTTTGAATTCATGGAAAATTTTGATAAACTTATTTACTCATTTTCAGCAGCTAAAATATTAATATATTGAAATATTTTGGAAAATTTGAAATATGAACAATAATTATTAATGAAAATATTTTTATTCGTAACAACAAATTAATGAGAAATCTGGCTTAAAAAACAAAACTTCTGCCTCGTATTCGGGAAGTGTCCAGTTCGAAGCTTTTCCAGTATGCTCACTTCTTGATTAAGATGTTTCGTTGTTTTCCTCAGTTTTTTCAAGCAAAATTATCTATAGTTCCTTAATTAGGCCACAACCGCTCCCATCCATATGTTTTCCAATTCATTATTACATCATTCGAAGTTATAGTCTGAATTATTGTTAATGGTCCGGTCTAGAAAACCAAAATCAACGACCGTGGGGATCCGTTGCTCTGATCACGCGACACCCTCTATCCGCTAAAGCTGGCACTAACTTCGTCGACAAGGGGCGGTCGCTCGGTTGGTATAGTTCGCTTGCGGACTAAAGTCACGGAGTTCGTTTTGTTTTTTGTTGTTATTATTGTTAATGGCGTTATATAAATTACAAATAAACTAAATAAATAAGAAATTGATATAATTTGGAATAAGATGTTCCATGCCTCCAGCTGCTCCTGCTTGCTTCCCCTTGTGAAGAAACGCGTTCAGTACCAGAGCACTCTTACTGATTCTTACGGTGTCACAAGTGTAACGGGGGAGGGGGTTATCTTGAATACTTTCGGTATCTTTGCCGATAACGTGCGCACCATTGTCCTGGAGTGTGTAACAGGCCTCACCAGCCAGCACGTGACACCCAATTATCATTAGGTGCTTCACCCGTAGACAAAATTTCGCTTAGGAACAGAATAAAACAATTATTGTTTATAAGTTACTGAAACTATCAAAAGTGTATAACACTTCTCTCTCAATAAGTGTAATTCCTCTGCCACCCTGACAGCTGTAAGAAATGTTTCTTCAGTATTATTATTTTACAACCTCATTATTGAAGAATATCAGGATATAAACGCCTAGAAAACAACTTGAATCGTTTGGTTTGTGTATTTTTTACTATTATTAACATTTTATCTCCATCCTCAGTGTCGAAGAATAAAATAAAGTAGAAACCACAGAACCTGAGCTCTGCGTTCCGCCAGATTTTTGGCTTGTTCTTTGCTTGGTTTATTTTTCGATCCTGAAGATGGAGGCGATATGTTCCCCCGAATCACATCTTGATTTTTAACGGAATACATTGCGTTATATCCCAGAAGACAGAAAATTCTGAACCATATTTATCGCACAGAGATAGTTTTCAAAAACGTAAGATCCTTAATAAATAAGTATATTACAAGAAACAGAATTTAATTTTCTTTTAACTAAAATAAATAACACAAAATTATCAGTAAACTAAATAACTAACAACAGATAGAAGAATCCTATGGTTCAAAACGTCTAATACGTGAGTTCGAAATTGAAAAAGACTATGAACCAGTTTAACCCTTCAAAACGTCCATATTCGTTTAATGTTATAGTCCCATCTCACCGCAAGTCTTAGGTAGTCCGCACACCGACATGCGTCAAGACATGTAACAGTCAAGACACGATGTCTGCGACATGACGTCAGTATCATGACTCAGACCGGTGTGTGGCGGTTTTCATAATTTCATTCGTTTCAACTGTGCTCTTTTCTTTGCGTCACGCCGCAGACATCGTGTCTTGACAGTTACATGTCTTGACGCATACCGGTGCGGAGCATACCTTAAGGTTTACGTCAGTATATTTAGGTCAGGGGTGGGAAAAATTTCCAACACATTGGACCATGCTGATAAACTCCAACTCTTCAGCGAGAAGAAAGTAGACAGCTGAATGTTAGACAGACGAATTTTATATAAATTTCATTCAAAGAGTGGCCAACTTCTCGACAGCGTCTACTTTCGATTTAATATTTTACATTTGTTTAGCATTCTAAAGTACACAAACAAACAAAAAAAGAACTCCGTGGCCTGTAATCCGCAAGCGAACTATACCGACCGAGCCACCGCCGCTTGCTGACAAACTTAGTGCCAACTTTTGTGGACAGAGGGTGTCGCGTGGTCAGCGCAACGGATCCCCACAGCCGTTAATCTCGCTTTTCTAGACCGGATTCTAAAGTTTACAGGCTCATAAATTTATTAAATTTAAAATGGACTATGAAAAATTCATGAAATCCTTTCGTT